GAAAGGAAAGGATCAGCTGGGTTTGGTGACTAGGAGTGTATTGGTGACCTCAGTGAGGGGGTTTCAGAGGCTTATAGGGACAGATACAGGTTGAAGTGGATTGTGGAGTGCGGGAGAGGTAGAAAGTAGTAAATACACTCCCTGCCAACACCACTTTCAGGAGACTGGTGTGAAGGGTAGGGGGTCAGTTAGGACAGTAGCTGGAGAAGGAATATGGATTCAAGGGAGAAGGGCTTTTTTCTTTTTAATGGAAGAGATCAGCAATGTGTTTAGATGCTGATGGAAGGAGCCAGAAAAAAGGAAAAGGAGAATATTGAGGTGAGACAAGAGATCCCCAAATGCCCAGGTGAGAAGACCAGATGAAACGGGGCACAGGAGCAAGGCTAGCTTCGGAGACAGGAGGGCAGCCTCCTCTTCTCCTCCCCTGGAAGAGGAAATGGCCCATGAGAAGCCGGTGAGTGAATGGGTTTGGTGGCAGAAAGTTGAGGAAATGCCCATCTGATGGTGCCTGTGTTCTCTGCTGAATGTGAGGAAGACAGGGTGGAGTTAGAGGTTAAAGAGAGAATCTAAGGGACGGGCACTGTGACTCACTTACACTTTAGGAGGGCAAGGCAGGAGGATTGGTGGAGCCCAGGAGTTCAAGACCAGCCTGGGCAACATAGTGAGACCCTGTCTCTACAAAAAAAAATTAAAAAGTAGCTGGGCGTGGTGGTGCGTGCCTGTGGTCCCAGCTACTCAGGAAGCTGAAGTGAGAGGATCACTTGAGTGTGGGATGTTGAGGCTGCAGTGAGCAGTGATCACTCCACTGCACTCCAGCCTGAGTGACACAGCAAGACTCTGTCTTAAAAAAAAAAAAAAGTGGCTGGCCTCGGTGGCTCACGCCTGTAATCCCAGCACTTTGGGAGGCCAAAGCAGGTGGATCACCTAAGGTCAGGAGTTTGAGACCAGCCTGGCCAACATAGTGAAGCCCCGTCTCTACTAAAAATACCTTAAACCCAGGAGGTGGATGTTGCAGTGAGCCGAGATTGCGCTAGTACACTCCAGCCTGGGCGACAGAGACTCCGCCTCAAAAAAAAAAAAAAACCTCAATAGTCACCTGTAGTCAACTCTTCCTCCTACTCCCACACCCTGGCAATCAGTGAACAGTTTCCTGTTCCTGTAGTTTTGCTTTTGCAAGATTGTCATATAAATGGAAGATTGTCATATAAATGGAAATGTATGGTAGCCTTTTCAGTCTGGTTTATTTTACTTAGCACAAAGCATTTGAGATTCATCTAGTCATGTGTATCAGTAGTTTGTTCCTTTTATTGTTGAGTGGTGGTCCATTGTTTGGATGTGCCAGAACATTTGGGCTGTTTCTAGTTTGGGGCATAAAATCACTATTAATATTCATGTACACAAATCACTATTAATATTCATGTACAAGTTTTGTGTGAACATAGATTTTCCTTACACTTGAATAAAGAGCTAGCAGTGGAATTTTTGGGTCATATAGTAAGTTTAATTTTGTAAGAAACTCAAACTTTTTCAAAGTGGCTGTCTCATCAGCAATAACCAAGAGGTTCCAGTTGTTCTACCTCCTCTCCAGCATTTGTTATTTTTGAAAGCCATTCTAAAAGGCATATTTTGATTTTTATTAGATCAGCATCGAAGATTTATATTATTAAACTATGTAAACAGGCCAGGTGTGAGAGTTCACGCCTATAATCTCTGCACTTTGAGAGGCCAAGGCAGGAGGATCACTTGAGCTCAGAAGTTCCAGACCAGCCTGGTCAGCATAGTGTGACTCTGTACCAAAAAAAAAAAAAAAAATCGGAAAAATACAGTGGCTCATGCCTGTAATTCTAGCTACTTGAGAGGTCAACGTGGGAGGATCGCTTTAGTCCAGGAGTTTGAGACCAGCCTGGACAACATTGGGAGACACTGTCTATTAAAAAAAATTAGCTGGGTGTGGTGGTGCCCTGTGATCCCAGCTACTAAGGAAGCTGAGGTGGGAGAGTCACTTACTTGAGCACAGGATGTGGATGCTGCAGTGAAACATGATCATGCCACTACACTCCAGCCTGGGTGACAGAGCAAGACTCCATCTCAAAAAAACTCCAATCTGTGCAACAGAGCAAGACTTTCTCAAAACAAAAAATGTAGACAGTAGTCCCGGTTAAGTCATGATTTTGGTTTTTCTTCTTCTCTTTCTTTAGTTTTCTGTGCATCTATTATATAATTAATTCATTCAGATTTTCTGCCAAAAATAGAAATCTCTTTTGCAATACATTTAGACAGATCAGGTCATTTGTCCATATGATCGTTTTCATGGAGACATATCTCAGGAGCCCTCCATCTCCCTGATTCCATCTGGATGGGGCACCCTGGAGGTCTGCTGCCTAGCTGTGCTCCTGAGCTCCTCATTCACCCTTATGCTCAGGGGCTCTCCCTGCCTGTTGTGCTGGGTCCCATGTTATCTTCTTTTCCGTTTCTCCTTTTAGTAAAGTACAACCTCCAGTTGCTTCCTGAGGGGTAGTCTTGAGACATGTATCTGAAAAGATCTCAATTCATACTTGCATAGCATTTGGCTAGGTATAGAATTCTAGATTGGAAATATTTTCTCTCAGATTTTGAAGGTCTTCATTATCTTATAGCTTCAAAGGTTGGTGTTGAGAAGTCTGATGAATGTTGAATTCCTAAAGCTCAGACTTTTTTGTTTGTATCTCTGGAAGTTTTTAGGTTCCGCTCTGTCCTCGGTGCTGTGAAATTTCTTGACAACAAAATCAGGGGCGAGTCCCCTTTATTCATTGTCCTGAACACTTGATGTTTCCTTCTCTACTGGAAACTCATGTTCTTCATCTCTGAGAACTTGTCTTGACAAAAAAGAAATGTATGTATTTGACATCTCTCCCTGCCTCCTAGTCTGTTGTCTCTGCTGCCTCTTTCAGAAACATCTAAACAATTTAGCTGTTGAAGCTCCTGACCTCTTCTCTGTTCTTTCTGGAAAATATTTTTTTCAAGTTTAGCTTGTACACTTTGATTAGATTTTGCATTCCTATTATTATGTTATTTTTATTTTAAGGCAAGGTCTCTTTCTGTTGCCCAGGCTGGAGTGCAGTGGCAGGATCATAGTTCACTGCAGCCTTGTTCCCAGACTCAAGTGATCCTCCTGCCTCAACCTCCGAAGCAGCTGAAACTACAGGTGTGTGCCACCACACTCAGCTAGTATTTCAATTTTTTGTGCAGACAGGATTTTAGGTGACCCAGACTGATGTTGAACTCCTAGGCTCAAACAGTCCTCCTGCCTTAGCCTACCAAAATGCTGGGATTACAGGCATGAGCTGCGGCACCTAGACTATATTTTTGTCAAGAATTAGTGGTGGTGGGTGTTTGAACATTTTTATTTGAGAGCCTCCTATTCTTATTTCATGAATGGAAAGTTTTATCTTTCTAAAGATATTATAGATTTTTTTAAAAAGACAGTTTCACTCTCGTTGACCAGGCTGGAGTGCAATGGCGTGATCTCACCTCACTGCAACCTCCAATTCCCAGGTTCAAGCAATTCTCCTGCCTTAGCCTCCCAAGTAGCTGGGATTACAGATGCCCGCCACCACGACCAGCTAATTTTTTGTACTTTTGGTAGAGACGGGGTTTTCACCATGTTGGCCGGGCTGGTCTTGAACGCCTGACCTCAGGGGATCCACACGCCTCCGCCTCGCAAAGTGCTGGGATTACAGGCATAAGCCACTGTGGCTGGTTCAATTATAGATTTTTTAGGTTGAGGTGTTGACAGATCTCACCTCAGCCTTTTCTCTCTCCTTGTCATGCAGCCCATAGGGGAGACTGTCAGGCCAGTGTGGGGACTAATGAATAAATGCTACACTGTGCCCACTCAGGTGGGTAAGGGCTGGCACTCCTCTACCCCTGGAGTGCGGTGGCTATGCTGGCCCCCTTGGCAGACACAGTAAGGGGGACTGCACCTGGAGAGGATGGTCCAGTCAGGGAAGGACTGCTCGCCACTCATAGCTGTGTGTCACCCCTCCCACCTCCCTTTGTGGAGACGCAAAGTCAAGAGTAGGAAGAAGCCAGCCTCTGAAGTAAGGCTTCCCCTGGAAGGCTCAGGGCTGGGGCTCTCTCCTATCAGAGCTCAGTTAGACCCAGTTAGACATGGCAGGGAGTCCCGGGGGTAGTGGCGGGCCCCCTCCAGGAAACTCACAAGGTTACCACAGCTCAACTGAAAAGGAAGAACTTCACAGGACTGCGACACCCCAGTGTGAGAACGGGAGGATGAGGTGCTCTGAAGGCCTTTCTGCCCACAGTCTGCCCTCCTGCAGGTCATGATCCCCAGGGGACCTGGAGGACTGAATGATGCTGCCCCCGAGGAGGCTGCTGTCTTGTCTTAGGAGGGAGAGCAGGTGAAGTCCCTATGGGAGGAAGCACCTAGCCCCATTCCTGCTGAGCAAGAAGAGGTGGCAGGGACCCCAGACTGGGAGGTAAGGACAGCCCGGGGCTTCAACTGGAATGTCTCCAGCATGAGTCCGACTGAGCAGCCACGGAGCACTGCAGAGTGGGAGGCAGCAGGGCAGGGAGGCAGTACTGGAGGCTGGCTCAACCTCAAGACCAGCAGGCCAAGCTGCTGTCCCAGGGGAGTGAGGACATCTGTGCAGAGCTGAGAGGCAGCAGCCATGTGTGAACAGACTGGGCCTCATCCTGGCCCCACCGACTTCTTGCAGACAGAGCCTGTTTCCCTGTCTGTGTAACACAGAACCTGCCTGATCTCACTGCTGGGTTCTTCTTCCTCCTGCCAGGAAAATAAAAAGGTTCAAAAGGAAATTGCTGGGTATCCATCTGGTAAGACCACAGGCCCAGTGTGCTGCAGGGGGCTGCTTCCACCCTACTTCTCAGCGACTGCTAGGGTCTCACACACCCCAGCCCTTTCCCACCTTCCTGAGCTGTGGAGGGGAGGGAAGCAGCCCAGGAGTCAGGTACCTGGACCTTCCTAGGAGCCTCCTTGGGTGGGCAGGAACTCCGGGCCACTCCCCTGAGCTGGCTGCATCCCTACCTTTCACCACAGCTGACCTGGCCCCTGGGCATCACAGAGGGAGGTTTGCTCCCAGCAGGGGACTCAAAAGGCTGCCGGTTTCTACTTTGCAGAGGCCTCTGAGGACAGCAAAGAGCATAAGGCCCTGGGACTGGTTCCCCGTGCTCATGACAGAGCTCTGCCTGGACTGGCTCTCAGCTTCCAACACCCTCAAGACTCAGAACTGTGAAGAAAAAGTTTCCAATAATTCCAAGAGTTGCTGCTGCTATAGGCCCTGCTGCTGCCTTTTGGGGCCTCCGTCTTCAGAGAAACCCAGTGTGGCTTCATCCACATTCCCTGTCCCCACAGCTGCAGGAACAGCACTTCCTGCCACCGAGCCATGTCACCACAATGGATTGTCTCTGGAAGGGACAAGGGGGCCCTGGCCGGCCTTCCGACTGACTTGGTGCCAGGGGATGGACCAACGTCCCTCTTGTGCTGACAGCCGGGCTGCACCCTGGCAAGAGGGCATTTACAGAAATGCTGGCGGGAACCGCTGCCAGGGATGCTGTAGGGTCCTCTGGCAAAAGAGGTCTCAGGTGGCTTCTCAGAGTGTCTGTGGTTCTCTATCCCAGGCTGTTCCCTAAGAGGGTCTGCCCAGGACTCAGGTAAGCAGATGCTCATTAGAAACTCTTGGGCACTGCCTGTGTGCCCAGCCCAGCCCATTGTGTCGGCGAGGACAGCGGCCCCTGCCTTTGGTGGGCTCCAGGCCAGCAAGGGCTACAGCCCCAGAAGGCAGAGCAGGAAGACAGGACTCGGGGCAGCTGAAGCAGCCTTCTCATTGGCAGAAGGGAAACAGAAGCCCAGGGTCACTTGGGGTAATGGCAGAGCCAGGACTAGGGTCAGGGTCTCTGGCTCTCAGCTTGTCCATGCCACCACCTCCTCCTCTGCCCGCCCCAGTGCCTCATAGGCCCAAGGTTGACTCCTGTCCCTAGGGCAGGCCTGTGGCCCACAGGGCTCATGCATGGCCCCTGGCCAAGCCTGTGGGCCCTGCCTGACCCCCTACCGGGAGGATGGCACCTAGGGTTGGAGCCCAGCAAGTGTTCTCCAGCTCCAGCCTGGCCCTGAGGGCAAACTCGCCACTGGTCAGGGGTCTGGACAGCAGCATGTCTGAGGACCCAGAGAGGTGGCCAGTCGTGTGGTGAGGTGACAGAGGCTGAGGGCGGTGGCTTAGTCCTGGGCTTCCATGGGGCCTTGGGGCCTTCCCAGGGAACGTTCTGGCACCTGCTGACTGAGCTCTGGGAGGTAGCCCTGGCATCTAGGTCCCTGATGCCATGATTTGTCTTCCTTTTTGGAGTGTCATATATGAAAGGAGGTAACTGTTGTGATGGTGCTGGCGGGACCGCTGCCCCTGATGGGGGGTGGGCTGAGTTAGGCCTGAAATGTGGGCCTCCAGGCTGAGTCCTGCCCTCTCCACCACACTCAGGGCTGACACCTCTAGTCAGCCCATTCTGGCTCCTTCCCCCAGATGCCAGAACAATGTAGTTCTTGTCACCAATCTGGGCAGAGTTGGGTCAGTGGGGGACATGGGATTATGGGCAAGGCTAGCTGACATCTGCTTAACCTCAATATACCCGTCTCAAACGCGGCCAGGTGGTGGGGTAAGCAGGAATGAGGCAGGGGTGGGACTGCCCTGGGGAGGATGTTGCCAACCAGGGCCTGGGCAGGGGACCCAAGTTGGAACTACCACATTGCTTTATTGTACATCAGGGCCCCTGGCTAGGGAGCAGGCTGGGGACTAGGTACCCCATTCTAGCGGGGCACAGCACAAAGCTCGTAGGGGGATGGGGTCACCAGGAAAGCAAAGACACCCTGGTGGCTGGGCCGGGGCTGTCCGGCGGGCACCGAGAAGCTGAAGCGCTGCAGCAGGCAGGTGAAGAAGAGGAAGAGCTCCATGCGGGCCAGGGGCTCCCCGAGGCATGCACGGCGGCCTGTGGGGAGGGGAGGGGTGTCAGTGAGCCTGCCTCCCGGGCAGGACCCCTGCAAGATTCCACAGAAGGGGACAGGGAGCCGGGCTCCCCACAGGCACCTGCTGAGAAAGGCAGGAAGGCCTCTGGCTTCACAAAGTGGCCCTGAGCATCCAGGAAGTGTTCGGGGTGGAAGCGGAAGGGCTTCTCCCAGACGGCCTCATCCTTCAGCACTGATGACAGGTTGGTGAAGAGCGTTGTCCCCTGGGAAGGAGATGCAGGGTGAGAGTGGGGACTGGGCTCTAAGATGTTGGTACCCCTGCCACCAAACACACAGGGGACACACACTACCTGGCACACAGCTGGACTCTCAACTAGTCCTGCACCTAACTAAGAAGCTCCTGAGCACCCTCTCTGACCCCATGGCAGGGCGCAGTCACACCTCTCAGGAGCACCCACGCTGCTCCCTCTCCCTACAGGCATTGGGCCGTCCGACATTCTGGCAGGTCCTGATCTGTCTACCCCACTAGACTGGGGTTCTGTATGGACAGGCTAGCCCTGCCTCTACTCTGGACCCCACAACCAAGCTGGGACAGTTGATGTGATGGCATTGAGGACTGGGTGGCCAGGGTTCCTAGATTGGGCCCACCTGGTAGTGGCCATGCTGGGGCTACCACCAGGGGCTGGTGCTGAGCTGGGGTGAGGAGGGCTCCAGGCCTACCTTAGGGATGAGGAAGCCCTGCACTTCGATGTCACGGGATGTCATATGGGTCACACCCAGGGGGACGATGTCCCCAAAGCGCTGCACCTCGTGAATCACGGCAGTGGTGTAGGGCATGCGAGCCTGGTCACCCATCTCAGGTCGCCGCGCCTGTCCTATCACGTCGTCGATCTCCTGTTGGACACGGCCTGGACAGACATGCGTCCCCACAATGGGTCAGCACCTAGGGGGTGGCCCTGACACTTTGCGTCCTGTGTTGGAGGAGGTCAGGCTTACAGGAGCCTGTTCAAGACTGTGCTGGGAGCCCCGGGTGTCCCAGCTAAGTTCACGGGCCCCCACCTGTACCCTTCCTCCCTCGCCCCCTGCACTCGGCCCCAGCTGGACTCACGCTGCACATCCGGGTGCAGGATCATGAGCAGGAGGCCCCAGGCCAGTGTGGTCGAGGTGGTCACCATCCCAGCAGAGAACAGGTCAGCCACCACCATGCGCAGGTTCTCTTCATTGAAGCTACTCTCAGGGTTCCCCTTGGCCTGAGCAGGGCCAAGAGGGTGCTCAGGGGACATATTGGGGTAGCCCCCTAATGACCTCCCATTCTGTACCTGTCAGCCCAGATGCTGCTTGCCGGGATGCCCTGGCCCCACCTTTTGCCCAGCCTCCCCTCATTCCTCCTGGGATGTTCAATCCACCACCCTTGCTCCCCACCGTGGCAGCCGCTCTCACCTTCTCCATCTCTGCCAGGAAGGCCTCAGTCAGGTCTCGGGGTGGCTGGGCTGGGTCCCAGGTCATCCTGTGCTCGGTCAGCAGCTCATCCAGCTGGGTCAGGAAAGCCTTTTGGGAGCGTAGGACCTTGCCAGCCAGCGCTGGGATGCGCAGGAGGAGGGGGACGGCATTCAGCACCTACACCAGACACAGAACGGGGTCTCAATCTCTCCTGTGCCCTGTGTTCACCTGGACCAGTCTCAGGCCCCAGCTGTCTCCAGGGAAGACCCAGGGTCTGCCTGTCTTTACCACTGACCTCTCCAAGTGCCAGCCTCCACCCTCTCTCCTTGCCCTGGGCTGCCAGAAGAGAAACCCAAAATCGAAATCTCCACCATGGACAGGGGGCACAGTCCTTGGCCTTTCTTGGTGCCCCCTGACCCGGGCACACCTCTCCTATGACCTTGTCTGAGATTTTCCCTCCTCCTCCAGGCCCTTCCTCTAGCAGTGGACTCTCTAGGAATGTCCTTTCCCAAACCCTCTGCAAATCCTGTTCCTCGGAGACCCCACTGCAGCCCTGGCACTTCTCAGGAGCTCGCCCTGCAGAGACTCCGGGGTCCATCGCTCTGCACCTCACGCAATAAGCCTGACTCCTCCTTCAGTGCCTCATATGTTAGGTCAAACAGCCTGAGGAAGCGAGGGTCGTCGTATTCGAAGCGGCGCCCATAGGTGAGGGAGGCGATCACGTTGCTCACTGCTTTATCCAGGAGGCTGTTTGGGCTAAAGGGTCGTCCTGGGGGCGGGAGATGCGGGTCAGGGGTCACCTTCGCTGTCCCCCACCTTCCCAGTTCCCGCCTTGTGCCCCTCTGCCCATCACCCACCGGCTTGGTCGGCGAAGGCGGCACAGAGGCAGGCGGCCTCCTCGGTCACCCATTGCTCCAGCGACTTCTTGCCCAGGCCCAAGTTGCGCAAGGTAGACACGGAGAAGCGCCTCTGCTCGCGCCACGCGGGCCCGTAGCGCGCCAGGAACACCCCTGGGGGCAGGACAGGCAGGTGCGAGTGGCCATGAAGTCCTTGGCCCCACCCTCTGCCACCCACTCCAACCCAGCGCTACCCAAGGTCTCCAGCAGCCCCTCGCCTGGTCCAGCTGGGCACAGGGCCCACTCTGCTTATCTGCCTTGCTTCCCTGGCTGGGGCAGGTTTTTGCCCCACCTCTTCTCTGCCCACCCTGACCGCCTTTCCACTCAGGGAAGATCCCGCATGCCCCCTCCCACCTACACTGAGCCCACGCACAGGCGCTGACGCCGTCCCCCTCTTCGACACCTGATTCCAGCTGGGAAAGGCGTCATCCTCACCCACCCGGCTCCTGGCGGGTCTGGGCAGTGGCCCCGCCCACTCGTCACAAGCCCCGACCTCATCCCCAGGCTCACACCTCCCCAGTGCAGGTGGTTTCCTGGCCCGCTGGCCCCACTGGCTGGCCTTTCTGTTTCACATCCACGACCCCGCGCCCTCTCCGCCCAGCTCGGACTTCGGTCACCGCCCGCCCACCCAGGGCCCACGGAAATGAGGTCTCTGTGCCCACCGCCACTTGCCTTGGGAGCGTGGCCCAAAACCCAGGACCTGGTTGATGGGCACAGGTGGGCGGTCGGCTGTGTCCTCGCCGTAGGTCACCAGCGCCTCGCGCACGGCCGCCAGCCCGTTGAGCACGACCACCGGCGTCCAGGCCAGCTGCAGGCTGAACACGTCCCCGAAGCGGCGCCGCAACTGCAGAGGGAGGGTCAGGGCCTCCGTCAAGCCAGGGTCCCCCCAGACTGCAGGTCCTAGTCCTATTTGAGCCTTGGGCTACCCCCGGGGCTACCAGGAGTGAGCAGGTGGAAGGAGGAGACCTGGCCTCATGATCCTGAGGTGGGGGTGGGGTTCACACCTTCTATAATGGAGGAACTCAGTTTGGCTGCATCACCCGGCTATGACCTTTTAAGGGTCACCAAAATTGCCAATAGACCCCAGTTAGCATCCCATTTTACAGATGATGGTCCATGCCAGTGAGCAGTGAGGCCTGAGGACCCACAGTGCAAAAGGTTTGAACCAGGTCACTGCACACCCTTCATCCTTGATTTCCTGATTTAAACGGCACTCAGGACCCTGACTTGTCTTCCATTCGTAAGTCCTTTCCTTCTGGTGTCAGCAGAAGGGACTTTGTGCTCCATAACATATTGTGCCCAATGGGCTTGCACGCCCACTGCCAAGTCCAGCTCCACCTCCAGGCCCTTGCCCTACTCTTCCTTGGTTTTTGGAAAATCCAGTCCTTCATGCCATGCACAAATGCCCTCCCCCAGGAAGTCCCCCAAACCTGCTTCCCCTTCTCAGCCTGGCTTCTGGTCCAGCCTGTGGTTTCACCCACCACCCATGTTTGCTGCTGGTGGGGGATCCTCAGGACCTCTGCCACCCTCCAGGACCTCCTCCCTCACCTGGTCGAAGCAGTATGGTGTGTTCTTGAAGTCCACATGCAGCAGGTTGCCCAGCCCCGGCAGTGGCAGGGGACCTGGCGGGTAGCGTGCAGCCCAGCGTTGGCGCCGGTGCATCAGGTCCACCAGGAGCAGGAAGATGGCCACTGTCACAGCCAGGGGCACCAGTGCATCTAGCTCCATAGCTGCCTCACTGCCCCCTGGGCTCCTCTGGACACACCTGGCTCCCCCACCGCACCAGGCACAGAGGACCAAGCAGGACACTCTCGGCACACCAAGTGCGTGATCATTCCCTTATAAAGGAAGCTGATCATGGCCTTTGCCCTCTGCTGTGAGCCAATCTGCTGTTTTGATTGTACTGCCAGTGGGTACAGGGTCAGGCCAGGGCGGGTAGGGGCTGCTCCAGAGGTCTTTGCCCCTGCTGCCCGCTCCAGGCCCTTACCCAGGGTAGGGTGGTGGAGGGGCCTGGTTGGAGAAGTCACTCCCTCTCTGCTCTCCCAGCTTCTCAAGCCCGCACAGGCTTCTGGGATAACCAAGGTCTCATTGCACCCTGCCATCCACCTCTCTGCTAGGCTCATACACCCTAATGTGGTCACAACCCCTCCTCCAGAACATGGCCTTCTCCTTTCCTTACCCCACCTACCCATTCCAGAGTGGCCTTTACCACCCTTATCTGTCACTGGCACTTACCTGGGGCCTTAGGGAGCTCATGATGATCAGAGGCGCCATGGGCCTGGTCCCTTCGCTTCACACTGCACTCTTGACATGCACAGACGCTATGCACACCCCTGATGGTGCACAGACCTCTTGTCCACTCCCAGACACTTGTCCACACTTGCAGGGACACGATCACACACCCACAAAATCACCCACACGAAGACAGTACTCACATGCACACAGACTCACACTGACACTCGGCACACGCATTGTCACACACACACATGCAGACCCAGCACCAAGTACTGCGCTTCTCAGCCATGCCTGAGGTTTCCTGCGTGGGATTTCTCCTGTCCAGAGGCTGCTCCCAGTGAGCCTCAAAGCTGTCACCTGGATCCCAGCCCAGCCCGCATTCCTGGGCTCCGGCCTGGCCATGGCTTCTTGTTTGCAACAGGGCTGTTCCCAGAGCTTCCAGTTAGTAACCTGAAGGCCCTTGCCCCAGCCTGTGACAACATCCTTCAGGGCTGCCTGAGGGCCGTTGTCCTCCACTGCTTTCTGGCCTCCATGTTTCTGATTAGAAATCTGGTGGGAACGTTATGGAGGATCCTTTGTTCAGGATATGTTGACTTAAAAAAAAAAAAAAAAAAGGGTCTTACTCTGTTGCCCAGGCTGGAGTGCAGTGGCAGGATCACGGCTCACTGCAGTCGTGACCTCAAGTAGACCTCCTGCCTCCCAAGTAGCTGGGACTACAGGCACCACTGAGCCCAAATAATTTCGTTTTGTTTTTGAGACGGAGTTTTGCTCTTGTCGCCCAGGCTGGAGTGCAAGGACGGAATCTCGGCTCATTGCAACCTCTGCCTCCAGGGTTCAAGTGATTCTCCTGCCTCAGCCTCCAGAGTAGCTGGGATTACAGGCACCCACCAACCATGCCTGGCTGATTTTTTTGTATTTTTAGTAGAGACAGGGTTTCACCATGTTGGCCAGGCTGGTCTCGAACTCCTGACCTCAGGTGATCCACCTGCCTTGGCCTCCCAA